CAAGCGACGAGGCATGAATAAAGTCCGCAAGTATGTGCGCTCCTTTCCGCACAACTGCCTATTCGTGAAGTCGATCGAAAGGAGAAGCGAGACGATGATTCGTCATTCTTAAGTGGCTCAACGACAACGGTATAAAACAAAATCATCCGAGGAAGGACGAACGAGGGAAAACGAACACATAGCCTCTGCCAAGTCAGGGAGAAAAATGAAACTTTTAACGAGGCGTGCGAATGAAGAGTCAAAAGACTGGACACTTACCGTGGAGGTGAGAAAGCACTTTTTTGCGGTTGACGTGACATACTTTTTTTCAGCGCTGCTTTTGAAAAACTACCGAGTCCTGTTTGTTTTGTGCCGAGAAAGAAATTTTTTATGACCGCGTTACATCAATCACGCTGACGGCATCTTTTTTTAACGTTAAAAATACGTTTTCTTTAACGTTACCATGATAATTCACTTATTTACCTTCTGGCAGTGATTTAATTTAATTAGCCAGCTAAGTGAAATGATAAGCGAAGGTAAATTAACGTCTAATATCCAATTTCCGTACACTACAAAATGGAATTTACGTACTATAGAGAATTTTGAGAACTTTGACGTCACGGAATCTATCACTTATACATCTTCATCTTCCCTTTCGACCCAAACACAGTGCAAGAGTTGAAACGCGCAATCTAAACAAAAACGCATAAAGTAAATTCAAAACGATAACTTGGTTTGCAAAGAGTAAAAACGAAAGAGAGTTAAAGAGATTTTACGTCTAGGAAAAAAAAAAAGAAGCGACGACGACGTCGAGATAAACAGAGCCTCCCTGGAGCAAAGTGTAGTTAAGCCGTCTGAACGAAGTCTGCAGGATCAGTCTGTATTGCGCGGCTGTTTATGGTCAGCTCAGGGACGGGAACAACGTTTGAGCTCAGAAGAAGCGCTGATCCTCCAGGAGATACGATGCGCTTGTGTGCCCTCTCTCGCCAGAGATTTTTTGGCTATTGCACCACGTTGTGTGACCGTGAAAGTTTATTATGCAACCAGATGATTTTCTTTACTTTTTTATACCGCACTTTTGCTTGATCTTTTCAAGAAATTTAAATTGACTCTTACTTTTGACAACAGCCTCATTGACTTTTAAATGCCGAGTAATCAAAACTTGGAAATGCATTTTAAAGTGGCCCCGTTGAAAGCTAATGCCTACTCTACTAAATCTAATTAAACGAAGTTTAATCTTGGAACTAACATTCATTAATGTCCATGCTTATACTACTTCATTACAAGGGCTATTTTATTGTCATTTCATTTTCACGGAATACAAAGCTAAATGTTAGTTATATTTTGTTTCGTGGAGTAGTTTAGCCCGAAACACTCAAATTTTCATTACTAATGGAAGTTTGATGTTTGGCCATATAACCGACTTATTTCACTCATGGCAATAATATGTTCTCACCAACAAACTTATATTTCCCAATAGCTTCGCTTGAAACATCCCCATCTAAATCGTATATTTCACGACCTTCTCGAGTTTATTAGTTAAAATCCATTTCTATAATAAAATAAAACAATCACTGTGGCACTTTCACATTTTAATACATGCCCATGACCGTCACGAGCATACGTTTTTTTTTATAGCGGTCAATACAATTCGTAACTCGTAAAAATTTCTCATAATACTAATAATGCAACGTTTCCTTTTTTAAAATCAAAATTGACCGCATTTTCATTCTTATTACTGCTATAAGAAAACTCTTGTTTTATAAAAAATATAAGAGCCGCTGAGATTGACGTTTCGTTATAAGAGCATACCTGAGTTTGAAATCACCCCGATTTTCTATTTTACGATCGCATCGCTCAAGAATTCTCATGGAGTCGCGCACACACGCGTCTATATACGATGCGCCAGCTGCGCCGATGCTTCTGCGACAATGCGCGCCTGACCAGAGGCCGAACTTTGTCACTTGAATAATATATGAGCGGTAAAGATCCCAGAGAGGCAAAAATGTTCTGCTAGTGTTGCTTGTGAAAATAACTTGTGAAAAGGCTAGAACTACTCAATTGCATAAATTTTTGAAAAACGAAAGATTTAATTCACGATTAGCAGAAACGAATTTTACTTTAGATTTAATATTTATGGATTGTTCAAATTATATTTAAATGTGTTATAAAAGTTAAGTCAATAAATTCATTTTTATCAAACATGGATTATAAATTTATTTTTACCACTATTTTCTGATGCAATTATTTTCTATATTTAAGTTAACAAAATGACGCTAGTTTTTCAGAATAAAAGGTCTCTTGAAAGAATGAAGAATTTAATACTTCTGCCTAAAAAGTCTTTCAAGCCACAGTTTTAGAGTGCACTTAAAATATCTTAAAGGTCTTTTTGAACCAAATTTCAGAAATGTACGCTCAAGACAATGCGCAGCCTCTTGTTACGGCTTGATAAACTATCAATGTGCGCGAGTAATTGAAACATTAAAAAATAATTTTACTGACTATAAAATAAGCAATAAGTTTTTGTATTCTTGGAAGAAATAAATCGAAATATTACAACATTTTGATATTTTGATATAAGTCAATTCGAAATTGTGTACAAAATAAGCAATACAGCAGTTAAAAAATACCCGCATTTGCACAAAAATGCTAATCAAACCTTCTTTACACACTCACGCAAACGTACACACACTTATATATACACACCAAACAGATTTACTCGAAATTCGAAATTCGTAGACCGTCGGCATCCGGGAAATTCCATCGCCAGCAATAATGCAAGAATCCCGCGAAGCCGAGATACTTCATAAAACTTCAAATAGCTAACTAGCAGCCTCTTGCAGTGGCGTGATTCTGACGTGACTGAAAATGCAGCCTGACAACGACAAATCCGGAATCAAAATGTCTCTCTTGCGGTTCACACAACTTTTACTGCCGTCGAAGAAAAATCTATTCACCTTTGAGAAAACAACTAAAGTTGCTTATGTTCCAAACGTAAATGGAACAGAAGAGAGAAAGAGACTTTCGTCGTTGTGGCTACGTTTGCTTTGAGAAGTCGGCTGTAGATTTTCCTCTTTGCATGTTTTATTTTCAGACTATATTGGTTTTCTTCGACACTTATACTGAAAGTTTTCAGAAGAGGGCATGATTACATGAAAACTTTCGTTCCGCACACTAATCCGGTTCGTTGATTGTTAGCCAATTAAATTGAGTTTCCCTAAACAAGGCACAGCTTTGTGCCTTGCGCGTGGTGGGTTGATCGAATGTATTAAGTTGAAACTAATTGTCCGGTAGTATTCTAATCACAGTATAAATTAATGTGTTCAAAACTGCTGTTAATCTATCACGCGTTCTCTTTTTATAAATTAAACCCGCGTAAAGTCGAATAGCCCAGAGTATGCTACAAATCTCAGTGTCGCGAGTGCAATTAAAAAATATTCCACCTGCCTCGATAAAAACAATAATTAACGTGTGATTAAGGTGAGTGAGAGAATTTTAGAGTACATCGTGCGTTTGTGTGCGTGCCAACTAGGCCATTTTCTATTGTTGCAGTTCGCGTCAGTAATCAAACTGTGCATTGCTGCATCATTACTGGAGGCCGACTTTTCGGTATTCCCCTTGGATGGAAATTGTTTCATTGATTCGATGCATGACATTGTTGAGACTGATTGCAATTAAACTCTGATGGGTGTAGAACTAGAATTGAAAACAATTTTCATGTACTGTGAAAATGCGAACATTATTCTTCAAATATTTTCACTCATGTGAAATGTTTAATTGCTTTTCCTATAATAATAGCGGATTCCAGTTGTTGACTATTTATTGTTCCATTGTGAATAAACAAATTTTATTAAAATACCGTTCACACTTCAACAATACATTTTTCATGGAACAAATTGAACGATGCATACATTTCTTCGTGTCGGCTGTAGATTTATTCATTATGATGAGAAAGTTTTTAAAACGACTGTATGTAGATGGCTGTAAATAAAACTTTTGAATAGTTAAATGTTGTGATATTATATACATCGAATGTTATTTCCGAACTGAATAAAAGCGAATTTTTTATTTATAGTTAGAAGTTTTGTCGAATTGTGCATGTCGGCTTATTTTACATCAATCAAATTTGATGCTATTCAATATATGAACTATAGGTTTTTTATATTTTTGGAATACTTCTAGGATTTCTTTCGGACCTAAGTAAAAAATAATATAAATGAAATTTAAATTATTGAAATTTTTAATTTCATTTGAAATCAATATAGTGTAGTTTTATTGTTTAGAGCATTTTTCAAAGAATCGATGTTGTATCACATAGTAGTATTTTTGTTTTGAATATTGAATAAAAAATTATATTTATGTTTAATTTGTAAATTAAATATTATAACTTAAACTATTATGGTTAGCATATACTTTTATAGCACAATATGACTTCTTATTATATATTGATTAATAATATTTCTTTGTGAAAATGTTATTAGTTTTCTTGATATAAAAAAAATATATTTTTATTATGATTCTTTTTTTCATAAAATCGATTGCTTTAGTTAGTTTGTCAGTATGACTTTTATTTTGATGTATTCTACTGATTTTTATTGTAATGTATTTATACAACATTTATAAACAGTCGGAAATAAAAACGTATATTATGTTTTTTGCTCACGTAAAGGATGACGCATTTAATTGACCATTGTAATCCCATTTATTTTTAGCTTTCACCTTAACGGGCTTTACCAAAAGAGATACAATATATATGTAAATGTACATTTTGTAATTGCATTTTGTTATATTAGAAAAAATTATGAAATGGAAAGAAAAATATGATAGACTCTCAGTAAAACATTTTTAGTAATTTAAGAATGATTTTTATTTAGTTAAGGTTTCGTTTACGGTTATTCATTGTATATAAAACAAGTTTATTGCGATAATATTATTAATCTTTCAATCCAACTGAAGATAAAGCTTACTGCTGTGTACAAGCCGAAAATTTAATCCGTAATTATTTTGTTTGTCAATTGCAGATATGGTAGCCCGCACCACAGTCGTTCGCAATCGGTAAGGACACCAGGTTCACGAGCGTCTGGTCGTCCTAATTACTTGTGCCTGCCGCAACAACGTTCCCGAGTTGCTTCAATGCCGAATACTGGAGTCGAGGAGGAATACTATCGACTACGCCACTTCAGTATCACTGGTAAAGGGGTGGTCAATCGTGGCGATTCACTCAAAAGCCGACGATCCAGATCCAACAATAGCGTCGCCTCCAGCAACTCGAGGTACGTGCTATTGCTTTTTTGTCTTCGAACGTCGCGCGGCTTATATTTTTTTTCCTTTTTCTGTTTTCTCTCCGAATTACACGGGGTGCTGACTCTTTTCATGGGGCACCCGTCCGTGATTCTTTTGTCAACGAGGCTGTGCTGCTGTTGTGCTATATTCTCGCGCTGCTTGTGTCAAAATAGGATGATCGCGTGGTTGTACGTTGCTAGACAAAGACATTTTTACGGATATTCCCGGGATTTTGCTATTTGCAAAGAAACATACTTCCTCGTATTTGGATTTTTATTACTACGTTATACATTTTGGGTAATCTCAGAGATAATAAAACGAACAATTTTTTTAGCATTATTTTCTCTCGCAGTTCCCTTATCTTTTTGGAAGTAAACACTTCGTTAAAGCTGATGTAACGTAATTTTTACTTGTTTGTAATGCCGTAATTACAGAAGCTCCTTGAAAGTCCAGGAAAATTGTTTACAATGGTATTAACCCCATAAATTGCGTTATCTTGTAGTTGCTAGAGGCTTCCTTGAAGATATCTAAAGACATTATCTGATTGCGCTGATAAAGTCGAGGACGAAAGAGAGTTCATTTACGTTTTAAATTAAAATCCTGAAAGCTACTTTCTTTTAGCTTATATTTACTTGGCGAAGTTACTTGCTGCTAAGTAGAGTGATCTATATACCGTCGTAAGAAATTGAAAGTGTGAGGATATAGCTTTGAAGAAATAAAAGGAATGTCCGACTGCGTAACTAAAGCTTAAACTTGAACCTATTTTAAGTTCAGAAAGTTGAACGCCAGAAAAACATTGAAGTTCAAAGTTTGTAAGCTTGGCTACAAAACTGATTAACTAATATTTCAGTTAAGTTCAATCAGCAAAAAATATTTTTCCTAGCTCCAGATGCAGACTCTCGCAAACTCTCGCGGCAAAACTTTAGTTTTCTCATACACCTGACCATAATCGCTTCGCACTACTGGAAATTTTCCTTTTCTTGAGTCGTTCAATGTTTTGAAGAGGAAGGATGTTTAATTCACATGAGTTCCTCTTCCGCAGCGCTGAGTAAATGATCTCACCATTTAGCCTGCTAAAGCTAGTCAAGCGAGAATTGTCAATTCCACGTCGTGGCAGCAGATGACAATGGCTGGGGTGGCACGTAGTTCGCCGCTGTAGAGAAATCAGTCAAGCCGAAATTCCCGAGGTGTCGTTCGGCAGGTGCACCGCAGTGGCTTTAAGCTTGTACCTCGTTATCCACGTGTGTGCGCACGCCGACAAGGGGGTTAAGCAAATTTCATTCGTCGCAGATAGTTAAGCTGTCAACGTTCACTTTTGTGCATTTAGGAAGTACCTCTCCGTGGTGCGCCGAGACGATGGATTTTCTCGTTGAGTTCCTTTTTGGATTTTCGAGCTTCGGTTTGTACTTGTTGATTGGAAATATTTTTAGATTCATTGATTTTTCTATTCTACTTGTATCTTTTCTCAGGTTTTCAAGGTACCTCGTTTACTACCTGTATGAGGCGTCGTTTCTTCTTTTTAATATCCTTTTTTTGCTCTTTATGCCCCCTTTTCAATCATCGAGATTTATCAAAATTTCGCATTCCAAAGTAGTTATTATTCGCCACTATTTATTTCTTGGTGTAAGGCCTTCCTTCTCACGGGTAACTGGAGGACGCCACCAATTCCCTCCAGTTACTTGAGTAATTGCTCAAGCTGGATTTTGAATTAGTAGAGTTGTGGTGATAATTTTGGCATGTACTTTTGTTTAAAAAATATATTGATACTTACTAGAAATCGAACTAAGGCCTCCCTTAGTTATAAAAATCCTACAACTGCGGCTATCTGATTGATTGATTTTGTTGCGATTGCCTTACTTTGATATTTGAGAGAAAATATTTAAATAGAGACAATGAAAATGACCAGTAGTTTGAATAAATAGTGAAAATTAAACAATCATTATTATTACGTGAATTGAAAAGTAAAATGATTTTCTGATTGTTTTCTGAAAATGGTATTGAATGAAATGTGTATTTTTGAATACATAAGTAAACTCTATACACGATTAAATAAATACATTGGCATCGAAGATAAAAATGTATATATCAAAATCAAAGTTTGGTATTCCAATAAATGTAAAAATCGAAATGACATGAAAACGTAATCACAGTTTTTCCCCTCATTCTCCAGGATAAAAAAAACAATGTGCGTTGCTTGTTGATTTGAATGTGAGACATTGAAAAGCAGCGCACAGTACATTTGCATTAGCTTAAATATTTAACTGATGGTGTAAAATACACTCACAGTCCAGAAATTTTCTTTTGCCCACGATAAGTTTTCCGAAGGCGCGTGAAATGCAAAATAATTCAAACGAGTAAGAGAAAAAATATCGAGTTGAAACACCTCCGAATCGAAACTAAAAGGGACGACGCTAAAGCCGATTTCCAAGTCTTTCCAAGTTTATCTCAACAAGATCAACTCTCTCTCTCTCTCTCTCTCTCTCTCTCTCTCTCTCTCTCTCTCTCTCTCTCTCTCTCTCTCTTTCTATCACCAAGGAGGGTGGCGCGTTAAAGTGACCAGCATACGAGAGAAACTGAACCAGTGGAAAATGGAAATGGGTTTTCTATTCAATTTGAATTTAATAGATACGTAGATTCCACGTAATTAAATTCACCTCTTGGCTATTTATTTACTTTACCGTTTAATTAACAGTTGTTTGTGATATTTTCCAATGTATTGTAGTTTTATAATCATATTGAATAGATATTGAGGTTTAGTGTTACTGATCTTGCGAACATGCTATGCATGCCTGAAGTAATATTATTATATTCGTAAAAGGTTAATAGCTTTCGGGGGAGATCCTATTTGTGTTATCAATGTTATGGTATTAGGGAGTCACATACCCCTATACCCTTGGCTTTACGAAGTAACATGATCCATACAGTTCTATCAACTAACGACCAAATATAGGAGATTCATCAGATATTAGTTAGGTAAATAAAATTTCATTGGAAAAGGAAAATTTCAATATATTATTATTTTTTAACGACTTTCTTCCTTTTCCTGCAAATGTCCGAGTAAATGGAAATGTTTGTGAATTAGTCGCGAAAAAAATGGAACTTAGGTAAAATTGAACTTATTAAAAATCATCCTTCTCGCACGTGGAATACATGTACATTAGAATTGTGCATCCAAAATGAGTTGCATCATCCTCGCAAGACCTACCCCTTTACGATTCGGGATCACGACATTTTAGACGCGCCGCGCTCGCGGTATGTTCCATATTGAAGTATGTAGCTAAATCAATTATCCACATCGCAGAGGTATCGCATTAGCATGTGCATCGAATTCTCCACGCGCGAATACATATACGCGACGAAAAGTAATTGTGGGACGCATATTCATGCCGCTCAACAGAACTTCGCCTGTATGCATATGCAGATCTACGTGTGTATGTATGTATATATACATATGGGGCTGCTTTGATATTGGAATCTTTAAATTACACGTTATTTTTTCTTATTTCTCAATATCACGCGGATTTTTTAATCCAAGTTTCTCTTGTACGTATATTCGAGTTATTTTCCAATGTACTTTCGTGTTTTCTTTATCGTACTTGCGTGAAAGTGTATCGTCGTACGCGTGTGTGTTGTATATAAATGAATGTTTAGTTTTTGTTAGAATTAACTTGGTGCGATTGTAAGATATTTTATTCATCTGCACGAAACGAATTCTCGAATATTTCAATATTTCGACGGCGCGAATATTCACGAAACGCGAGGCAGTCACATCCTGAATCAGTGCATCATCGAACGAATGTACGTAGAATTAGTGACGCCAAATTGATGTCAATTGGAGCAGCTTAATAGCAATGGCGGACCGACCGACGGAGATTTTCAGCAAGATAAACAGCAGCGTCCGAGGCTCTAGATCGAACGCGTGAGTTTACGTGTGGCGATGAGGCGACGTAGACACACGTGTTTGACTTTAGAGAATCGGGCCAAAGTTGCAGCTCCTCCCTGTCTACCACTACCAAGATTTCCAACTTTGTGCCTGCGTGCTCCAGGTTATCGAGTCTTCAACAATGCTGATTGGCTATTGTGCATGTGGTGTGCCAACTAGTGTTAATTGAATTACTTGTGTAAATTGCCCACAATTGAAGGTGGATCTTGAGGTCTGAATACGAGTCTATTGGATGCGATAAAGTTTTGTATTTGAGTTCGGAGCGTAAATAACAATGATATGCTACATTTTCTACGTTATCAATGACATGATCCATATTTGTGTTATATTTATTTATTTTTTCGATTTTATAAAAAGCCAACGTTGATAATACGAATTATTTTACTTCGAAGATAAAAGTTTGAGCAATGTTTCGTCTATAAGTTTTTTTCTATCCGGGCTTATTTTCGTACATTGAATTTAACAATTTAACGAAGTGTGAAAAATCTTGAGAAAAATATTCCGTCGATGTCAATGTGTAAACTTAGAATTTAATGTTCTCCTTTTACGTGGGAAATCATACGGAAACGCCAAGAGGAAATTACTACTGTTTATCTACGAATTTCTCCTAATTCTACCTACGAATTTCCTAGTTTAAGTAAACTTTTGCTCATGGTTTTCCAGTAAAACTAGGGCAATATAATTAACGATATTAGCACTGCAAAAGTTAAGAAAATATATTGAGGTAAAAATAGCGAGAAACAAAGGAATGTGTTCTTTTTTCATATCTTGTTTGCATTGCACACTGAAACTTTTGCACAATAACATTAGAACGCTTTTATACAAGAAATCAAAAGACCAGAAAGTTTACACTTAGTCTCTCTCGGAGAGGCGCTAAACGATGATCCACTTGCGTCAGAGGACGGAACACAACTAACGGGAGTGCCCGACCGGTTGTATCAAGGGGTTTTCTTTCCCTCCTTGGCTCTCTACCTCTACTTCAGGCCCAAAGGCTTTCTGTCAATAAGGCGTCGTGCATCATCATCCCCTCGCTAGATGCTCAATTTT